GAACCGCCAACTTTGGCTCATTCTTTCCCAAGGCTTTTGCAAAATCCTTCTAGCCTTCCAAGAAAGTCTGGATCTATTTTACAATTTTTCCCACCACCCTGACTGAACCCCTACATGTCTCAAACCAGTAGAGTTTCATGAACTCTATGGTAGACTTTGCTCAGGTTGGTCTCAGGCCAGAGAACCCAGGTGAAGCTTGCTGTGGATGGGTCACCTCTGACCCCTCAATGTGGCTGACCTAATACATCTTGAGAATGTTGTAGCTCCAATGAGGAAGAATCATAAACTCGTGGGCTTTCAAAGCTGGAATGGATTTTAGGTATTATTCAGCCAATACTTGTAAGTAAAGCAACAAAAGAGTGACATTTAAGGAAATTTCCAATGTTTGCAGTCACATTCAGGGAAACTACGATTCAATAAGTTTTAAGATTAGAAAGAAATAAGGATTGAGACATTGATTCTCAGAGAAACTGTGTAGCATCTATGTATACATTCTGGGTAAGGCTTAAAAAATCTACACAATAAAGCAGCATTCATGTTGCTCTTTCACTATTATATTTTAATTGGTACTTGATACCCAAGTTATTTTGAGTCTTAGGGTCTGAACTGACAAAATACCATTGAGTAAGGAAACAAGGGTAGGAGGCGAATGACATCCCAGGAGGTGACCAGATCATGTGGCTTCAGGGTCTCCATAGAGGATGACTGAGATTTGGTCTCAGTGCTCAGAAATGAACGTCCCCCTACTCACTATAATCCAGTGATGTCTAAACACACTTCTGTGGGTTCTGCCCCAGCATACCAAGCAGAGGGCATAATTCCTGGCTAAAAGCAAAGACTGAGGATCAGGAAGGTCATGGATCCAATTTTACAGTCTAGGCTCTTTATTCTTTGCTTTCAATGCCCTCGTGGGCATCGGACTTGGGGAAGCTGGCCTCTCTCCTTTAGGCATGGCCTGGCTTTCTGGCCTTCACAGTGAATTTGGCCTACTGTAATGCACTGGTACGTGCCCGACATATCACATCCCACCTCAACTTGAGCCCTGGTCTCGATCTCTTCAGCCTCCCTGCCTTTGCTATTGTGGCCGCACAGAGAAGTCTGATGACATTTGTGGCCCCAGGCTTTAGTCTTAGGATATTATGGGTACCTCTAGAAAAGAAAGATGCTATTATTTTTTTTCTCCAGAGTAACAGCAGAATACAGAAATAGGCTATGATGAGGAGAAAGCATCAACCAGAAATCTAAAGCAAAAAAAAAAAAAGGGAAATAAATTCCATTAGTTGGGGTCCTGGAAAGTAACTTATTTTTATGCTATGTGCTGTTATTGTTGCTGTTTTAAATAATTACAAATGTCAACTAAGAAATGAGCAGCTATGATTCTCATCTATGTGTTTCTTAACACTTGTCTGCAGAAAATAAACCACCACTAAGAAATGAAACAAGAAAAAGAACAACAAAATGGCCTGTCAGAAGCTTCCTCTGCCCCGTGTGGACTTGGAACAGATGCCCTCCTGTCCCGTATCTGCAGACTCCTCAGTCTTCATTTCAAATGTGAATCATCCATCAATCTTAGAATTACATTTAAAACTCATTAAAAATCTGTTTGCCATTCCTCTCAAAGATTAATCACACAAGTCCAACATAATAGACTTGACAATTTAAATGCTCCCACTTTACCATTTCATTTCAAGTGTACTGTAATTATATTATATTGCTTCTGGCCAACTTTGAAAATATATTCAAATAATAAGCCTATTTTTGGTATATGATACACTCTTAACACTATTCCTTACATTCATTATGTAGAAAACTTAAAAATGTACTTAGAAGTGTCTTCAGAAGTCAGAGTAATCTATTAATCCATCCATCCATCTATCTCTTAAATTGTGCAGTTATATAAATATGCAAACGTTCACATAGGGAGATAATTATTCTTTGAGTGCTTTGGCTTTTTGTACAATAACTTCTCTATTTTTAGTTTGTGTTTGTATTGAAAAATTTACATGAAGTTCATTCGCTGTCTCAGGTTTATAAGCACATACAGTACGGTAACGTGCTTCTCAGTTATGTGGTCATTAACCAGGATTCTTGTTTGTGGTTACTGGATACTAGTACATTAGAGAGGGAAATACTGCCTGCCATAATATTCCTTGCTCTGGCTTACTCCTCATCAAGAGTGGGTATGATGAAGTCAAAGCACAAACCCTTTTGCATGGATACTGAGAGAGCACACATGAGTGTGCTTCATTAAAAAAAAAATCCTTAAGGATTCTTTTTATCATGATGCAAAAAGCAAACACACTGACTTCATTTCTTATACATTTTTTAAATGACTTGGAAAAGCGCTGGGCAACAGAGGCAGGAGTGTATGAACTACAGGTCCAGTGAAGCTCTGACAGCTGGGGAAAGTGTCCCTTAGTAAAAAACAAACAAACAAACAAACAAAAAACAAAAAAAAATCATTTGAAAATGACAGAGACAAATCTCCGGTTTCTTTTTCATTCTCAACTGATTAGTAAGGTAGACTATAGAGATAGCCAAAATAAGTGATAGTTTCAAAGCAATTTTAATTGATTATTTTGTGTTAACTTCTGTTAATTGGTGGTGAACCAGAACCAAAATTTACTTCCAAGAGTTCATCTAAGTGATATGAATAAAAATTAAATTTTAAGTATGCAGGAGATTTTGTTCATTCATTCACCTGATATTTGAGTTTCTACAATGTGCCTAGTCCTGTTTAGGCATTAGGGAATTCAGCGGTGAGCCAAACAGACAAAAATTCTTCCATTTGTAGTTGGGTGAGACAGATAAACAAAATAAGTAAGTATATAATTCTGTAGCATGTTAGAAGGTGATGAAAAGAAAAATGGGGATAGTAAGTATCAAAGGTCCCGTTCTACATAAAGTATTGTGAGGGGTTTCACTGAGCAGGTGCTAAGGCATGGTGATCACTGGGAGGAGAGAGTCCCGGGCAGAAGAAAGGGCACTTGAAATGTTTTCCATGGAAATAGCGCGCAAGGTTAAAGTCCCTGCAGCGCTGGGGTGCTGAGCAACAGGACTTAAACGTGGTGGGGGCAACAGGGCTCCAGATAACTAGGGCATGGTCATTGTAAGGGCTTCCATATTTACTCTGAGTATCCTGAGAGGCTGTGGGAAGTATTTGCACCAGGGAGTTAAGTGATCAAACTTGTGCTTTTAAGGATTATGTTGATGCTTGTGCTGAGAACATTCTGCTGGAGAGCTGAAGCCAGCAGGCCAGTCAAGGGGCAGGGATATCCAGGCTAGAGCATGGTGTACCAGGCAGGAGAGGAGGTGATGAGAAGTGGTTGATCCTGGCTAAATTATGAAAATATGGGTGACAAGATTGGCTATTGGGTAGAATATGGGGTTTAAGAGATAAAAGGAGCTCAGTGTAGTTCAAGTACTTCATTAACTAAAATTCTAGGACTATGCCATGATAGATTTGATGTAGATTGTTCAATCATTGTGATCATATTTATTTTAAATTCATAACAACATGGAAGAGGAAATGCCTTCCTCAGTTATTGTGAATACGATCCCAAAATGATCTCTCCCTGCAGGCTTTGTTTCTCCCAGCTTAAAGGGTATTTCTCTCTTCTTCCCCTCCCCCCAGACCCAGATTTTCTCTTTGGACTTCCTAATCTTCATAACTGGTTTTTGTCTTTTGGAAGACACATTTTACTTAAACAATAATGTTAAGAATAACTAAGATATTTTACATTTTCACAGTAATTGTTCACATTGTTAATAATCTGCATGTTTCCTATTATGCAGTATTAAAGTATTTTCAAAAAAATCTCAGTTTTTTACTATGTGTACCTATCCAGAGTTTTCCTTCAAATAGCACAGAATATCCAAAACTGATTTTTTTTTTGTTTTGCATTCTCTCCCTGTCCCTATTGTTACTTTCACAAGTTGAGCACAGTTAATGGGTTGCTCCCAATTATTGTGGATAGAGATGCAATGTTTGGGCAACTGGTAAGAATTTGAAACATAATAAATGCAGCAACTGTGCACCTGGGAATTCCCACATGATCGATGTCCCAATTTTGAAATGTAAGAATTACGCAAGCAAACAAAAGTGAGACAGCTTTCCTGTCACCTTTATTTTTGCCAGACTGACTTGAACGAAGATCACTAGTGACTGTGGTGTTCCTGATGGGTAATTATTTCAGCAGCAGCTACTGAAAAACTCATAGCTATAACTCAACATCTGTTTCCCTTCCAAAAGGACTCAGCCCCTGAAAATATTAAAACCATCATGACTAAATAATCTTAGCAGGTTGGTCCAGTTTACACTCTCCAAATACACTGGCAGAAAGATGACAAATTCCATCTGGAGTTTGCTATTATTTCTAGGAATTTCATTATGAAAATGTGAGTTTGCAGTAATTTACTTGGCTTCCTCACAGCAGAATGCAGTTGAAGATGACAGTCAACTTCCATCTCCAAGGTGCAGATGGCCATTTTGGATAATCTTTCCTAATGGCAGACTTTATGGAAACAGACCAGTGGTACAACTAAAAAATGAATGAAATTTTAATTTTCTAACTTAAAATAATAAAACTATTTCTTTAAAAGATGGGGATTTCGTTCTGTCACCCAGAATGGAGAATAGTGGTACAATCATAGCTCACTGCAACCTTGGACTCAAGCAAACCTCCCACCTCAGCCTCCCAAGTAGCTGGGACTACAGGCACATACCACCTGCCTGGCTAATTTTTAAATTCTTTGTAGAGACAGGGGCTTGCTCTGTTGCCCCAGCTAGTCTTGAAATTCTAGCCTCAAGTGGCCCTCTTGCCCTGGCCTTCCAAAGCACATAAAACCATTTGTAAACACAAGAAACTGTTCCATTCACCTGAAAGGTAGTTCATTTAAAATGGCTACTCATCACCACTGAGGTCTCAGCCTTTTTTTCAGTATCCTGGGACTTATCTGTCAGTTTACTAGTAAATTCGTTCGTAACCAGTTTCTTCAAAAAAGAAATGAAAAATATACTAATGTCTTCCAAATTCTATAATCAAATCAACACTAGACTATGATATATAACAGAGAAACATCAAAAAACTGAACTGTTAATGAAAAACTAATAACAAGAAAATTTAATCTCATTTCTCTTCCTTTTATAAAAAGTTAAATATTATCAGGAATCCTCTTCCATTCCATTTTAAGTAGTTTAAGAAATCATGTCTCTAAAAATGACAATCAAACAATTATCAAGTGGAGAGCATACTTCTCCTCAGACTCCTGAGATAACGACAAGATGACATTTCCAAGGCCCACATTAGTGGGGGTTCTGCAGGATCATCAATGGAAAGTCACTGATGCCACCTCATGTCTTTATCCTCTTGAGTCACTTTCAGCACAGAAAGGCAAAATGCTGCTGCATTTATTGAAGCACCAGGGCCCTCAAACCTGGGGGTACTTTCAGAGAAGTCAGTCAATCACCTAATACTGCTTGTTACAAACAGAAATGATCACATCACAGAGCGGGACAAAGAAAGGCTCTAAGTATTATCAGCTGAAGACCAGAACATCCACAGCCACATAGTAAAGGCAAGCTCCAGAAAACTCTCCACCCTTATAGATGCCCATTCAAGACTTTCTCAACATAATTTTTTTTTCTTAGAGAATTTTAAATACTCAAGTCTTTTTCCTTCCTTCTATAAACCTTTTCAAATGCTTCATTTTCATCTTGAAACCCATTATGGTAGACTTTTCCGTCCTTTCATCACCTGCCCGAATTGAATCAGGGGTTAAGTGCTATTAACTCCATTGCTTTGCACCTTGCCTCCTGTCTCCTATTCAGTCTCACTGCTGTCATCTTAGTTCAAACCCTTGACCTTGCCTTCTCTGCCTGGTCTGAGCATTCACAGACTACTGGAGTGCATATCTTATGAGTCTCCAGACACAAACATATTCTAAATTGCTTAGTATAGCATATAATAATTTTGTGTCATATAACTCCATCTTTCCCCCTCCTTCTTTATTAAGTAGACTACATTTTTAAGATAGTTTCAGATTTATAGAAAAATTGAGAAGATAGTACATTGAGTTTTGATTGTACCTTACCCAGTTAAACCCCTATTATAAACATCTTATATTAATATGGTTTATTTGTCACAATTATTCAGTCAGGACTGGAATATGATCATTGACTAAAGTCCTTGGTTTACTTAGATTTCCTTCATTTGTAATCTCATGTTCTTTTTCTGTCCCAGGATCCCCTGAAGGATTCCATATTCCATTCAGCCATCCTGTCTCCTTAGGCTCTCCTCAACTTTAACAGTTCCTCAAGCTTTCCTTATTTTCAATGACCCTGATGGTTTTGATGAGTACTGGCCAAATGTTTTGTAGAATGTCCCACTATTGGAATTCATCTGAGGTTTTTCTCATGATTAAACTGGGACGACAGGATTTGGAGAAGAAGACCACAGAAGTGAAGTAAGATTTTCATCACAATATGGGCACAGCTGGGTTTCAATCAAGATGTCTAAGTTTCTAAGTCTTTTTATTTTAACTATTATTTGATACAAAGTCCATAATTTTAATGCATTTTTTATCTTTTTAGTTTTTAATTTTCTTGTTATATATACAGATTTTCTAGTCTAACAAATGAAGGTAAACAGATTTGAATGTTTTTCTTCTAAATTAAAAGTGTTTCTTCAATTTTGTTTCTTTAACAAGGGGAAATGAGGACTGATTATACTCAGAATACACTGTTTCCTATTTTAAAAAATCACAGTCGGTGATGTTATCAACGTTGGTAAATAACACATTCCCGTAAGAGAATAATGGTTTTGATAAAAGTATTTACCGACATTGAATGCTAAACAAATCAAGAGCACGTGCTACTGATTAGTGTGTCCTCTCTATCTGACAGGCACATATTGACCATGACTTTCAAAAGCTCAGGAAGTTCATTCTATAAAGGCCAAAAACTGATCCACTAAATATCATGCCAAATCATTCTGAGAAAAATTGATACTGAAGCTTGCTGTCCTTGTCAAGACTTAATTTCCAAGTAGGAGTTACCGATGGCAAGAAGAATAAATATCACTCTCAAGAAGAATAGGAATTAGGTTTAATATGGCATTAATTCCCAAAGAGAAGCCAAAAAGAACTTGAATTTGGTACTTTTAAAATATTACTACTGTTAAGGTGAATAAATCTATGTCTGTTTTCATTTTATGTGTAATAAAAGCTGGCAAAACTTCTTGTCCCCCCGTTACCATATATAGAACAATTCAGCCTTTAATTTATTTTCAGAAGCGAACACTGTCATATTCAAAGGTATCCTTATAAACAGTTTAATTGCTTGCCTTTAAAATTAAGTATTGAAGAATCAAGTGGTGTCACTGTGCGAGCTTTTCATTTTATATAAATGCTTGTTCATCCTATTGTAAAAAATTTTGGGGGGAGATCCTCATTTAATCCTTATAACTGTTGGACAACTTTACACATAACAGAATCTCAACTATTGTAAATTCTTCTTTTGTAGCCAATGAGATAATCACAAATATCTTTCAATAAAACTATTTCATGCTTTCCCATAACTTTGTATAATATTCCTGACATCAGTCCCATATAGATCTGATTTTATCATTTTACTTTTACAATTGAAAGAAAATTTTATTAATCTTGTCCTAAAATCTTTTCTTTTCACCCATTGATTTTTCCAGACAAACTTCAGATAATTTGTCTTCCCTAGATTCTTGCCTCATCTTTAACAAATTGTCTTTAAATTTGAATTTTACTCAGCCTATAAGTGTATTTGGAGAGAACTTGCATCTTTTCAATATTCAGTATTTACATTTTTATCTTTTTACTGAGTTCTGTAAGTTTCTGCATTTCAGTCTTAGGAAAATGTGGTTGAAATAACTTCTAAGAATGTTATAGTCTTGAGATCTTTGCACTGTTAAGTTCTTAGAGCTTATATCATTAAACTTTCTAACAGGTTCCTATGCAAAGTTAGAACTGATATTGATTTTTATATTACAATATATTTTCTAATTTGAAAAAGATGTACATATGAAAGTATTAGACTGACCAGCAATTATGTGACATCAAGTTCAGCACAGAGAGTGAAATGGATACAACCCAAATGTTTCCTAGTGTCGTCTAAGAGGAGAGACCTTTAATGATTAAATTTGAGCAGCATCACCTGTCTTCAAAAAACTAGCTGGGCATGGTGGCTCATGCCTGTAGCCCTAGCTCATGAGTCTGAGGCAAGGGAATAGCTTGAATCTCGAGGCAGAGGTTGCAGTGAGCCAAGATGGCACCACTGCACTCCAGCCTGGGTGACAAAGAGAAACTCCATGTCAAAATAAAAAAGAAAAAAAAATTAGTGGCAGGCCCAAATATTCTGTAGAAAATGCAAATTGGGTTGGCAGTCCTCAAGAGCTAAAGTAATGGAATTCATTTTACAAAAAGAACCTTTGACTATAAAACTTAAGGAGAATGGATGACAGTTACACTCTCCAAGATTTTATGGCACCCAGCGGAAGAAAACCAATTGGGAGGGGGGAGAGATAAAATGCATAATCAATAAGATGCAAGTGTGGCTAGCAGCATCTTCTGGCCCACTCCTGGCATTCAATGTCCGTGTTGTTTATTATAAGTATTAGGCTTTCCTTAGGCCAAATGATAAAGACATAAACAACACATGGCATCCAAGGGCATCCAGTCAGCTGAGAAGGGGACACTGAGTGAGAAGCAGATACTGAATTTTAGAGGGCGCAGCATCGTCAATGGCTTCCAGAGGAATAAAAAAGGCCTAAGCAGGTTTGCTCTCACTGCTGTTGAGAAGTCACTGAAACACTCAACTTATACAACTACAGGAAATGGCTCCACCACCATTCCCAGAAAAAATGTTCATATCAAGGAAAAGTTAAAAACCTGCTCTAGAACACATTAAAAGCAGGACACAGCAGGTGTGTTCACAGGCAAAGCACTACAAACAGACCAACAGGTGAGTCAGGAACTGAGGAGAAAGTTAGCAAGGCACCACTGGAAATACTAGGATAGGATCTGAGATCAGAGTATCAAAGAAGAGCTTCTGTAGGACTCTTGCTATTACAATGGGAATGCCAGGCCTAACTTGCAATGTACAAAGAAGTTGTATGGGTCTTAATTAAACAAAGTGATGAATTTGAACACACTCCTTCCTCTCGAATATTTTTAAGCTTCCGCATGACCCTGTGATGAAGTTTGGCTGGGATTTAAAGGACTCTTTCTTCCTTAAAAAGCAGTAATCGAGAGCCTGAAGGATGGCATCTATGCTGTTTGGAAGGGAGGGTCTACAAGAGGAATACCTGTATACGATCACTACTTAATTTACTTTGAAATTTATCTGGAGAAAAACCCTCAACCCTTTTAACCAAAGATTTTGCATTCTGCCCATGTGAGATTAGCAAAAAGAATCCAATGTGGTTTATATGATTAAAACTTCATATAATTATCTACGTAGACAGTAATTATTTATTTATTTACTTAACAATTTAATTGTTCGTCCCAATTCCATACACTGGACAAGGCACTGTGACACCTCCCAAGTCTCCCAAAATAAGCAAGGCTTAGCAAACATCTTCCACTATAGTTAGGGGCAACAGAAAAGCACTTAAATATTGTAATACAAAAACAATATTTTTAAAATAACAGTAAGAATCAAGTAAGTATCATTTAAAAATGAGACTATGAGAGCCCAGAGAAAAGAGACAATAGTAGCTGATTGGAGAAGAGAGAAGCAAACAAGCACCTAAGAGAAGGAGCTGGGACTCTGGCATTATACACTGGGCAGCTTTCAAAAGGCAGAAGGAACTGGGGTTTTCTTTAAGGGAAAATCAGAAGGAAAGAACCAAGACAGAAGACACCATCGCAGTTGTCTCCTTAGGGACAGCAACAGCCATTTTTTCCTTGAAGCATGACAGTGAATACTGGATGGGAAAAAATAAATTTTTCTCTGATGAAATATGAAATACTTTTGAGAACTATGATAACTGAAATTTCTCAGGCTTGATGTCATTATATGCATTCAAACTGAGCCCCTTAGATTGAGTCCCATTAGCACAGCAAGTTGCCTCTTGCTATTTTGCAGTGCTTGTCATCATTATTACCAATTACTTTCCATGGTGCCCTTGAGGTTCTAAGCACCCGCCTTGTGTACACCTGCCTTTCACTGGTTCACTGGGCTAGAGCCACACTTCTGTGACACCTGATGGTCACCCATTTTCACATCTGCCCCGCAAAGCTGAGGTGTAATCAGCAGAACTGTGCTGCCTCTGCAGAGATAATCTTCTGAACGACCAATCAGACTTCTCTAGAAAGTCCTTTTAGCTGGAGGTTATAAGTCAAGCATGTCTCGGGTATTATCGCTGTTCCCTCCATACTGCAGGCAAGTCAATTTGACTCACGAGCTTTATTTCACATTCATAGCCCGTGAGCTGCACTGAATATTCGCAGAAAGTGAGAGAAATTAGAATTGATGACAGTTGTTTTTTGCCAGCAAGATCCAGGGGCTAAATGACTTGTGGAAGCTTGCTCCAGTAGCCAGGTTGCTAGACATTTAATTCAGGATTCTGGATACTCAAGGAGCAGTTGGTAGCTAAATTTTTTTCCCTTTTATTCACCCAACTCCTTAAAGGGAACCATTAATGGCATAAGAGTTAAAAATTTCTAGTATGCCATTCTCAATAAGTTTGGGATCAACAGCATTTATTATGTACCTAATTTGAGTGTGCAAAACACTTCATTAGACTCTTGCTCTCAAGACAACTTAGGGAAGTCACACATATAGAGTGAACTCTAATCAAGACAAAAGGAATGTCCAAACTTGGATGTGCTGATTGCCCAGTGTTAGTGAGGCGAATGGTAAACTCAAGGCACTTACGTCAACTTGGTTTAAGATCAGGGTGCAGTTCTCAAAGACAGTAAGCTGACGTGAGAATGCAGAGACTGAAACCTTTATTAGCCACTTTTTATATTTAAATATAGGGTAACTTTAGACATGTTATGCCCTATACCCACACAAAGAAAGAAATAGATGGCTTCATGGTGCTAAACCTGGATGGACTCAAAGCAGGTGATTCTGGAAACTAATTTACTAGTTTTGTTTTGCTGTTTTTTTGTTTTTGTTTTTGAGACTGGATCTCACGCCATAACCCAGGCTGCAGCGTGTGGCACCATCATGGCTCACTGCTGCCTTGACCTCTCCAGGCTCAGGCGATCCTCCCACCTTAGCCTCCTGAGTAGCTGGGACTACAGGTGTGCATCACCATGCCCGGCTACTTTTACTTTTTTTTGTTCTTTTTTTTTTTTTTTCTTTTTTTTTTTGTAGAGATGGAGTTTTACCACACTGCCCTGGCTGGTCTGGAACTCCTTGGCTCAAGGTATCCACCCACCTAGGCCTACCAAATACTGGGATTACATGCATGAACCACTGCACCCAGGCAGGACTGATTAACTTGGAAAACTCATTCAGAACTTGTAACTTTATCAGTGGACTTACATTAATAATGACTTCAGAACCTCAGAGTGTCTTTATATTCCCACTGAACCATTCTGTGTTCACCTATTATTACCAATGAGGGGTATTACTTGGACAATTTACCAGGTGCCAGGCAACATGCTAGGTGAGTTACATGCACAATTTCACTCAAGCTTCTCAGTAACAATGCAAGATAGGTATTATTTTCACATTTTTAGATGAGGAAATGGGGGTCCAGATGGCTTAGAAAACTTTTCAGTGATTCTATGGCAGTGAACACAAACCTGGCTGATTCCATGTTACCTTTACATATTAAAAACTCCATACACTCACACACCTAACAATCTTTCCCAAGCAATCAGCTTCCCACGTTTCCCTTGCAGTAATAATAATATCGATTTACTATTCAGTATGGAAATATGCTCAGAAAAAAATTATTTCTGGATAGAGTAGAAATTATGTACTAACTGTACATGATTATTGTTAAAATAAAATTAATATATAGCCCCAAACACTTTAAAAATGTAAAGTGCTACATAAATGCAAAGTATTTTAAGACTCCTTATAAAAAATAATACTTGACTGTTGCGTACTACTGAAATCACAGTTGTGGGATTAAAGTGATTTTTTTGCTTCCCATTTCCCTCTAGTTTATTTGTAATATTGTACAGAAAGGGAGTAGGTCTCTGTTATCTTTGAATCACCTGAAGTAACCCCCGCCTTTTTATATAAAGATCCCATTTTAACATAAAAAATTGGGGATTCACAGTTAAGAACATTGACAAAGAAAACAACAGGCTCTCCGTCACGTTTTTTGGAGTTAACTGGAATAGGTGGAACGTCAAGAAGAATGAGATTGTGTTGAATGACTATTTTGTGGATTCAGTTCCATAGCCTTACAGGCAGATCTTTTATAGCTCACTGTTTTTATCAGCAGGTCATGATTTATCCCACAATTACCATGACAATTAACTTCCATGAACCATTTATTATTAACTCTGAATTCTACAGGGCCTATTCTTAGAAAAGCAAGTTTTTTTGGTTCGTTTTTGTTTTTTTAACAGCCATATGATGGCAATCTTGGACAGAGCAGATGTATACCTGTTAGGGAGACTCAAGCCAAGGAAAAATGTTTATGAATACACATTGCCTATCGTTTTCTTTTAACAGCTAGGATCCTGTTCTGTCGCCCAGGTTGAAGTGCTTGATCGTGGCTCACTGTAATCTCAAACTCCTGGGCTCAAGTGATCCTCCCACCTCAGCTGCCTGAGTAGCCGGAACTACCACAACACCTTGCTAATTTTTAAATTGCTTTTTGTAGACACAGGGTTTCACTATGTTGCCCAGACAGTTCTTGAACTCCTGGGCTGAAGCAATCCTCCTGACTCAAACTCCAAAAGTGCTATTTGACACTGCATTAGGCCCATCTTACCCATCTTGAATCTACCACAAAACCACTCTTTAAAAATGTGTCCTTTTGCATGGTTACAAGCATCTATGAGGGATTCCTTTTCATGAGGTCATGGCACTCATGCTTCTTACAAAAGCTGGGGTAGTAAAGAAGGTAACATTGGCATGAATATCGAACCAATGAAAATTATCTCCTGTACTGTCTATCTGATTTTTAGAGATTTAAGATCAAACAAGCTAACAAATATGGTTGATATCAAACAGTGAGAAGTTGTTGGAAGTCATCCAGCTTTGGGCTATAGAGTTTAAACTCAAATTCACTCAGCCAAAAGCAACACCACCACCACCAACAACAACAACATGACTTTGGAAAAAATTGTTTGTTGTTAATCAG